CTACCCTTTCTAATGTTACCTAGTTTCGGTATCTCGGCTCCCACCTGTCCACCACCGCGGATCAGATGTACATCTCAAGCTTTTGGCAGACTCTGTACCCGTGTCTTCAGGTGCAGGGAGCTGAAATTATCTACAAAGTTGCACATATATCGATCTGTGGTCGTCCCCACCCTGCTATAAGGCAGCGAGACGTGGGTCACATACAGGAGGCACCTCAAGGCATTTGAAAACTTTCACTAACGTAGTTTACGATCTATCCTCTGAGTTTGCTGGGATGACTTGAGAACAAATGCCAGTAGTTTCCCTGACACCAACTGTAGGAGTATCGAGGCTATCATTATCCATGAATAACTACGCTGGACTGGCCATTTTACCCTCATGAACGACAGTAGACTGCCAAAGCAGCGACTTTACAGTACAGTCACCTAACGAACATAAACGTATTGCTGGCGGGTAACTGAAAAGGCATAAGGATAGTCTTAAGACAAACCTGAAAAAGTACCAAATCGACCCCCTCACCTGGGAGCTAATTAATCCACACCGTAACGCTTGGAGGATTACCACACAAGAAGGTGTCAATACTTTCGAGTTAACCCGACTGCATACCGAGGCAGACAAGCGCCAACACCGGAAAGACGCTACCGCCGCCCTTCCCGCACTAGATGTAGCCCTTTACACGTGCAACATCTGTGGACGACACTGGCGGTCCCGCATCGGCCTCTTTAGTCACCTCAAAACTCACCAATGAAGGTGACATCCTTAATAACTCATCTCATTGTATCATAGCTGGATTGAATGTCAGACTCGATTCCAAGTGACAGAAAAGTAGTAGTAGTAAACACCTAAACCCTATTCTGTGATGAACACAATAATGTGTTGCAGATGCAAACACAATCGCAACAAATCCTTGGAGACAGCCGCACAGTGCACACACAAACTGGCTACGTTTCCCTCCCATCCTTTAGTTTTTATCATCGTTATCTTTAGAGTGATATTATAAAACTCATAAACTGGAATAAAATACTCCCATAATTAATTTTGCACAGCCTGGCAACTCACTAAACTACCACTCTAAGGGCCAATTGCAAGAACATCCGCTGTGTACACCATGCTGTGGTAGCCCCTTGGTCGTTTTGCAAGAAGCACAATGGGCTAAAAAAAATAAAAATATCTATGATTGGTTATTGGAACGTGGGAGATTTCCGTGGTACTTCCACCCCCACCCGATGACTACTACGATGGAACTATATTTTGAAACCAAAAGTAAAGAAAGAGAATTGGATGCACATAAATTGTATAAATCTACAAAGATATAATATTTGTAATAAGATATCCTCCATATAGAACAGCAAATGAAGAATTTTATTGTTCTTTTTAAAAGAATTCCATGTTTGTGTAGGAACATCCGCCAGCCTCTACTTGCCTCATCGCCGCTTATGTCCTCCAAATTCTCCTAACCATCATAAAAAGTAAGCCTTTAAGATAACTAATCCAAATATTTATGTGTAGAAAATGTATGGAAATCAAATTTAGCTAAAAAAAGTCGTAGGTGGTATATTTGAAGAGTGGTGAGAACTGCTCCATCTGGGATGGTGAATGAAGTCCCTTATCATAAATAATACCAACCCAATTTTCGTAATGAGCACAATTAATAACCGTCCAGCACTACCAAAATAATTATTTCATTAGTATAAATACCTAGCAGCCTAAATTTCATAATTAAATAAGTCCAAATATGCCAGGTAACCAGTGCCAGGTAGTTCCCAGGCATGTTTCATTTGTGTATCAGTTTAACCACAATTTGCTACGAATAAGATAAATTCAGTGACATAAATTCATGTTTTTTTTTGTTTTTTTAATTCCCTTAGTGACTCAATGTATTGCAAGAAAGAATTACCTTACCACTTTTTGTGCAACATTTGGAGTGGTGGTAATAATTCACTTTGCCATTGACCGTCGTAGAATCAAGTGTAGATATATTGGCTTTGTTTGTCCATGATTCCAACAAAAATGAATAATGTCTTCCAAAATAAATGAAATTGGAGGTCTAATTATCTTTTCAGTCATCCAGGGAATTTTAGGATTTTAAGTTGACCAATGTCTTCCAGTTAGGTTAAGTTAGGTAGGTTAGGTTAACATTTTGATGTAGAACATTAAAATTTTAAAGGGCTCAGAATTTTTTTTCCATGAATTTCTCAAAAAACAGGGGATCAAAGTTTTTTAATCACCATGAAAATCTACATTAGAAAAAAAAATCATTTTTTTTAGTGTGTGTTGCATATCAAACCAAACAATTCTGAGTTTACATTGATTTTTTTTAACAGACTGAATTACCCACATTATGTAGGCATTGGAAACTTATAAATATTAACCCTCATAACTAAAGATGTTTTAGAATTCTCAAATTTAACTGACACGAATATTAATGACTTTATTTTCACTTACAGGTGGAGATACAGTACAGCTGACTATACACCTTTCACCAATACTGAAGAAATAAATCTTGGTATCATGATTGATGGGGAATTTTTCCGGTTCCTGAGAAGATTTTGGAATTTGCTACCTAACCTAACCTCGGAATTGGTTCCCAGACTCGGAACAGAAAAGTTTGGAGACTTTCTGTAAAATTCCCAAATTACACAGACCAGAAAAAATGCAGTTTATGGAATTTTCAGAAAATATGCCTTAGAGAAATCATAACATATGCCTTAATTATTTTTTTTTAACACACTGCATATATACATGGATATTACGTATTAATATATTTGTGAAATTTGTGGATGATTTTTCCTTTAAAATACTTTACTGTTGATCATCCATATATTATAACATATCTTGCTTTTAATAAAGGCTATATTCTGACATAAGCATTATCATTGAATTCTTATCCTTTTTATTATTACAGTTTATATTAAACATTAAAAAATGCAGGAATAATTTGCAATTAACATTACAGGCTGGATTGAGGATATTTTTAAACAATTTAATTATCATCTTGTTCTATGTTTAACATTATTAGTCTCTGATTAGTTGGTAGAATTTCATAAATATACCTACTTTATATGGGTTCCATGACATTTGCTCACAAGATGAACCTAACCTAACCTAACCTAACATGTCTTCCTTTCCACAATAGTTGTGAGTATATGCCTTGTAAACAAATGTCTGCACACTAACTATATGAAGACTCTCTGGTGATGATCCACGCACAGTACTTACATGGAATATTTTTCTAAATAAAAGACCATTTAAACAGCAGATACTTTTCTTCAACTGCTGATTTAGTCCACGTCATTAACATATTGTATACATTTTTACTCCTGACATTGGGAAAGTGTTCATTTCTTGCTTTTTTTCATAGGGTATTTATTGCATTACTATAATCAGGTGGAGATAAGTAGGAAACATTATCTCAAGTTTTCATATCTTGTAGATAACTGGCCTTTATACTTGTATAATATGAAAGTAAAAAAACTTTGTACAGAAAAAATTTCCTGTTTGATAGAAAACTAACAGTTATGGTGATATTTTTTTCAAGATTTTATCGTAATTCAACTGTACAGTGCGTTCATCAGTCATAGCAAAATTATAATACCTAATACTGTACTTTGTTATATTCTACTGACTTCAGCCACAGAACTCTTACCCAACCCCAAGTTCGTGACAAACTTATTACTTTATTGTTAGATTTGTTATGGATAAAGAAAAAAGGAACAGATATTACGCTCTATTCCTGCGTTTTTATGTTTGCCACAGTCTTTATGTACCTATATTCACTGTAAGTGATAGTATTTCATTCTCAGAATTGGCTTATAATCCAAGAAAATAGGAAAATGAGGTACACCTTAGCTTGGGATTCGAGTTTTTCATGCTCGTAAATCACACGATTTACGAGCATGAGTAAACGTTTCGTGCCTCTGACAATGTTTTGAGGGTGCAAGCATACCAACCTCCCAGTCTTCCACCAGTTGGTACACCTGACTACACTACGAGGACGTAGTAACAACAAACGACCACCATGTCTCATCTCGAAAAATTACAAAATTTTTACTCCATTGTATTACGACCGCCGGGATACCACAGCGTGGTGTACACCACGGCAGTTCTTGCAATTGGCCCTAACTGCCGTGGGAAACTGGAAGGGGCCTCCCGATGTTTGGTCATCAGGCTCTTCTGTATCCTCGGCTACTTCAAGGCCTTGATACAAATTTTGGATTGTGACTGTACTTTTTTAATTAACCTCCTGATGTACTATCTTATACATCATCATCATCATCATCATCATCATCATCATATTACGGTCCTTTTTCAAGTAATTGCAGTTCTCCAATGAATACGACCTCTTGCAACCTCTTTACTTAGGTTCTTTTTCTTTAGATAATTTTTCACTGTCTTAACCATGTTATCCTTGGTCAACCCCTCTATTTCCTCCCTTCTAAATTCAAACTTATGTGCAGTGTTTTTATCTCAACGCCACATTAAACATCCCTTTAATCATTCGCATTTTAGTTCCATCAAGTATATGTACAATTGTACAGCATGTCGTTCTCCTTAGTTATGCATGTTTCACTGCCATACAGTAACTTATGCAGTCTACATTGAACTACAGTACATACAACGGCAATAAAGACTACAGCTCCCCAAACTTCTTCCAGACACTTCTAGTTCTTCGCCACCACCCCCAGTACGGATCACGTCACCCAGGTAGCAGAACCCATCAACTCCTCTTAAGAAAGTTCGTGATAAGGTTGGGTCATACAGTATATCCAATGAGGGGATTAATTTCTGCCTTAGATTGATACTTTTATCCCAGGTAAACTCTTAGATAAGCATAAAATCCATTATACAACACTGAAAATTCCCTTGAAAAAGTATTAAAGGGTTCCCCCCCCCCCGAAAAAAGAATATATATAATTAAATAGAATATAAAAAATAACACATAGGTTTCTTGTTAATTATAAAAGAGAGACAAGGGGAATGAATACTGGCAGAGAACTGACCTATCATAGCGACTGGTTGTGTGAGAATCATTTGTACGTGGTCAGGGTCAGGCAGCAATCCTTTGTCTTGACGGAACACCGAGCGACGGAACAGGTACTGGTGATCGCTGATGGGCGAAGCCTATCAAAAGAGTTCAGGGTTCATCGTGTGTGTAAAGCTCGTTGTTGATTTAATTGAAGATGTAAACAGAGACAAATTAGTTTCAAAGCAAGCACCCATTACATAGATAGTTCATGCATGAATCTCTACAACAACAAAGAAAGCATACATTTTAATTAGTTTAAATATCAATACAACATTTTAAAAGAAGTTGGTGTCTCTCTGACTAATTAACCAAACATTGATAAAAGAATCTGTCAAAACAAGCATGGAGCACGAGAGCGACCAATTATAGTTTGGCTGATGAAAATAGGTATATATATATATATATATATATATATATATATATATATATATATATATATATATATATATATATATATATATATATATATATATATATATATATAATATTCAGAAATGTTGGCGTGATATTTAGAGACATTAGTACGTAAATACCAATATTGCAGAAGACCCGACAGCAGCACCCTTATCCACTACCTCTTAAGATGTCCCCACACACAACGCTTCCGTGACGCCTTCTGGACCACCACTCCACGAGCCCCCTGACGGAGACACGATGATCCTCCCCATACTGGCCAGATATTTTGTAAATAACATTTATTATGTGTTAAAGGAATATCCTTCCTTCCTTAGGCTTTAGTAAGCCCCTTTATAATATTTATACTGTATATACTTGTCACACTTGCCAGATGCTTCTGGTGTCATTGTACAGGGGTACCTAGTGACAGCACTAGGATCCCGCTTCCTCTATCAAGGAATAAACAATTGAAATTGAAAATTGAATACCAATATGGCGTTACGCTGAGCAATCTTAGCCTACGCGAGAGGTTGACTGGGCGAGGTAAATGCCGGCCTCCTTGGCAGGCTAGTAGTTACACCTTTCGGATTATTGGGCAGTTAGGGTTGTAGTAGTTGTGGGTCATCCCCGACAGGCTCTGGCCTGTTCATGGTGGAGTTAATATTTTCTTAATATTTTTTATACCATTTCTCAGTGACTGATATTATCCTGTTGAATGCCCATAAGGCCTGTTCATGTGTGTAGGTAACATTTCCTAATATTTGATACTATTCCCCAGTGCCTGATATTATCTTGTTGGGTGTAGTTAATATTCCTTAATATTTTGATATTATTGTTTTCTAATGATTATGTGTCACTAAGGGATGTGAGATAACGAGGAACTGTTTTCAGATGAGCTCCTCATTCTGGTGTAAGTAGAACTGTTACCTTAGTAGTGTTCATAAGGCATTTAATATTTTCTACCTATTTTTGATATCATGTACAGTATAACCATTGTTCCCCAGTGTAGTGTTTTAAGCCAGGCTAAGAGGTGCGCATATGTTGGTGTACCATTATTGATTGTGGTTGTAGTGTTGGAGGGAATAGAAGTGTCAAATTTTACAGTGCGTCTCATTCACGGCAATCACAGGTGCTATCTGTCCACGGGTCACGGAGAATATTTTTTAAGTAAATTGTGTTTGTGCTGGTTCGGGTTTTCTCAAAGGGGCGCTTCCACTGCATTACCATCCACTATATATATATATATATATATATATATATATATATATATATATATATATATATATATATATATATATATATATATATATATATATATATATATATATATATATATATATATATATATATATATATATGTGTATATGCATATGTATATATATATATATATATATATATATATATATGTATATGTATATATATATATGTATATATATATATATATATATGTATATATATATATATATATATATATATGTGTATATATATATATATATATATATATATATATATATATATATATATATATATAGATGAAGACTGTTGGTGAGTACAGACTGGTCTGTACTCACCCCTGAAGATGTGAATTACACGAAAGGCTTTGGGAACTCTGTGTTTTCTTCTTTCCTTGTGGTTATCAGCATATACCTAGATCACGCGCACCTACAGTGATTTATTTGCATATGTATATATATATGTATATATATACAATCAACACCTCAACCCGCCAGGATTCGAACCCACGGCCCACGAGCCCATGACTGTGACCGGGGAACGCTACCTACTGGACCACCAGGATACTAAAAGCAGTCCTAGTCTCTGTTATATTTCACACAAAGCCTGTTCAATGAGCTTATGGCGCCGTGAACCTCTAATGGGGACTACCCGTATCACGTAGGTGGTCAGAGTAACGTTTTACCAAATCCGGCTTCGAAACACGAGGATCCATTATGGGAAAGTGCATAGATTCAGTAGGAGGTGCAGGGGAAGGAGGGATAGAGTGGGAATCGTCTAAGGTGGAATTAGAGGAGAATAAGGTGTCAAAGAGGTTGGCTTTATCAGGGGGAGAGTTGGTTATAGAGTTAATGGGTCGGAAGAGGGGAGGAAAAGAAGGAGTGCAGAAGTTGTTACAGTTGTTTTTAGTTAAGGACCAAAAAGATTTACTAGAGGAAGAATTAGTCAGGACAGCTGTTTTTTCTTTTAATAAAATTCCGCTTTGCCCTACGAAGAATAGCCTTACAGCGATTCCTAGAAGTAATGAAAGAGGTGTGGGCAATAGGAGAAGGAGATATTTTCATGGCTCGATATGCCCTATCTCTCACCCTGCAAGCAAGAGAGCGGGAGCGATCAAACCATGATTGCAATGTGAAAGTTTGGTAGAAGATGGGATAAATGCACTCATACCGCCCTGTATAACCCCAGTAATGCTGTCAGCACATACCGAGCCGTTCCGAATGGAAAAGCAACATTCATCCCAAGGAAAGTCGGTGAAGAATTCTCGCAAGGATTGCCAGCTTGCCCTCCGATAGTGCTATAGTTGACGTTTAAAGGGGGGTGGGGAAGGTGGTCGTGCCCAGTTTGATTTAATAGAAATAAGGTTGTGATCAGAAGACCCTAAGAGGGCAGAAATTGAGTATGAATAGTGTGAGGGGTGAGAGGTAAAACAAGGATCACGAATGTTAGCAAGTTGATCGTGTCGATCAGGAACTCGTGTAGGGTGTTTGATTATTTGTTCCAAATCATTACGTAGGGAAAAAAAGAGTGCCTCAGCTCCACCTGGGTCATCCCTTGCAGAGCCAAGCCACTCTCTGTGATGTACATTGAAATCCCCTAGGTAGAGGATCTCGGTGTTGGGGTGAGTGGATAGCAATGAGTCATGGTAAGAAGTGAGATAGTCAAAGAGTTCGAAATAGTTGGTTGAGTTGGGAGAACAGTATAGGAAACAGTCACAGTAGGTAGAGATATTTTGAGCCAGATGATATCATAAAGGGAAGATTCAAGATCCGTGAGTCGAGCTATAGGTGTACGTGTGTTGCAGTAGGGGCATACACCTCCCTTAGAACGGAAGGAGGTATAAAGGTTGTAGTTGGAGACTTGAAAAGGATGGGGTGAAGCTTCTTTAGTCAGTTGAAGTGCGGAAAGTAGTAAGAGGTCGGGGAAGAGGTTAATAGATGGTGCTCCACAGAAGGAAAATTGGATCTCAGGCCGCGAATGTTGGCAAAATGAAGTGTGAAAAAAGCCGATCCTCCAGCAACCACAGTGGCGTCAGTTAAGGCCTCAGTAGCTTAATGATGATCAGGTCGGCCCTGGGGTCCACAACCTTCCCGACCAGTGGGACCCATCCGAGAAGGCCCCGCTTCAATATAAATATCAACTGACATAGGAGAATAAAATAGAATGAATAAAACAGATCAAGAATGAGTAAGGTTATATTTGTGGTGTTGTCAATAGTAAGAGAGACAGTTGTGTGCAAATGAGGAAGAAAAATAGATCAGCAACCTTGGTCACAATTTTCGTAATGCCATATGACAGCAGGGTCTACCATTAGTCAATACAGTATGCTTTCGATAGCTTCCTAGGCGGTAGTACCTCCCTGTTTGGTCGTTGCTTATTACCTATATAGAGACTCTTCTCTAAGATCCTGGTCTAGATTATATATCAAAGATTCTGTACAGTCGCAAACGAAAGCGCTGTCGCCTCTTCAGCTGCTTCACGAAAACTAAGATTCAGAATCGTGAACCCGAAGCAGTAGACACTGAAACATTATTGAGTCCATAAATCCTTCGGATTCACGAGTCTGACGCCCGGAGTTTTAAACACCCTCTTCCGTTGAAGAGGGTCGTCGTGTTTCAACTCGAGTTTTTTAAAAAAATGAGTCCTGAAGGACACCGCAGTATGGTACTGGACGGGATGGTGTGGCGGTAAAATTAACTAATTTTGATAAAATTAATTTATAATATTGGAAATTAGTTAATTTTACCACCACAACACTCCGTCAAGTACTGTGCTGCGGTGTCCTTCAGGACTAATTTTTTTAAAAACTTGGGTTGAAACACGACGACCCTCTTCAACGGAAGAGGGTGTTTAAAACTCCAGGTGCTAATCTCTGGGCTCATGGAGCAGCAGATGAGGCACCTTCACCTTTGTTCGCGACTTCATCACAAAGTAATGAATAGCAATAGAATTCAATGAACTATAATCTTCATCAAATTACGGAAATACGAGACAGGATAATCCTCACCTTTATCTTCTCATATTGGGAATATCCATAGCTGATAGACAAGATGTAGCCCATTTCTCTCAGCTCGTGGACTGTTTGCGGCACCTTTTCTATGCGAGGGATGGAGAGGAAGGCGATCAGGTTACCACTGTACGCTGCCACTAAGACAATCACCACCAGCCATGTTGAAATTAACACCAGCCTTCCGGCGATGTTCACTGGCTGTCTCACCGAGCCTGTTCATGGGTAATGTACAATGAATAATGTAAATTGTAAAGTACTATATGCGAGTATATTGTCATTCTCAACCAACCAAGTTGAGTTTATTGTATTGCTAACACACACCGTTACACTCATATATAGGAGGTAAAAAAAAAATCTTGGACCTTGTGTTTACAAAGTCACTTGATAAACTTTGTAAATCACTTGCTCAGCTGTCACATTGAACACGTAGTCAATTTCCATGCCATGCTCGTTGACTGCTGCCTCTGCTAACCCTGCTATCATCATCACAATGACTTTCTTACACTATGCTCGCTAACCTATATCCAGGACTATGGTCGCCAACTATCAGATATGAGCACAATACTCTCAATGAATTGAATTGAATTGAATTGAATTGAAACAGTTTATTTAGCCAGAAAAACACAGATACAGAGTGGATAATAATAACAATATTAACATGGCTAAGCCAGTTGAGCACCTGAGCTCTATTTTATGCACCTGATATATACTATACATTTATCTCAAGGAAGTATTATGTAACATTTAGTATTATCTGGAATAGTACAATAGCATGGTGGTAATAAGAACGTCTCATATGTTACCATGGTTATAACTTCAATATTTATTTATTTTTTATTTATTTTTTTTATTTTTTTTATATATACATAAATTATAGTGGAATTGAAGAACATAAGTATAATGGGGAAGTAGTACAACATGGGTTGTACAGTAATAAGGTTGAACAAGAGGACAAAGCTGTCAGGATTATGTCTAGTTGGCAATTATGTTTATTGCAATGGTAAATACTTATCTATTTACATGATAATTTCCAATAAAACAGTTTTGATGGTATAATAAAAGCAGGTACTGCAAATAGAGTAGGTGTTACAAGAAATATTAATACTTAGACAATATACATTTTTTAAGAGATGATTTAAAGGAAGGGAGCATAGTCTTTGCTCGGATGGGTGGGGGAAAGTTGTTCCACACCTTCACACCGTTATATTTTATGGAGGTCTGGGACTGAGAGGAGCGCATGGGGGGGAGGGTGGTCTTAGTAGCTCTGGGTGCTTTAAGTTGTATCTCTGATTATTACGGAACTGGAAATAATTATTGTCAAGCAAGTGATTGATAGATTTGAAAGCAAAGAGGGCACAGCAGTAGGTGTTAAAATCTTCGAATTTTGAATTTTTTCAATAGAGCAAATATTTCGTTTGTGTGATCTGTTTTTTTTTTTCAAGTAGGTCATTGACCGTACAACTCTCTTTTGTGCACTAACCATAGATTGTGTTTTTGAGGAGCCAGAGGCACCCCATAGTGTGTGAAAGTGTATCAGGTGTTGGTAAACAAGATCATGATAGATTTCTTTCATTGCTGTGAGAGTGAGTAACTGTCGAGTGTGATATATGATACAGCACTGTTTATTGACTTTACTGCAAATGGCTTGTATATGTGGTTTCTCCAGTTAAGTTTCTTATCAACAATAGCTCCGAGGAATTTAGTATTTTGTTCGCGTTTGAGGACTGCATTACCAAGGTACAGGGGGTCCAAGTCTGGAGGTAAGTTTTTACTTCTGTGAAAGATCGTGTAGTGGGTTTTCTCAAAGTTTAAGGTCAGTTTATTTCGTATTACCCAGGTCCTGACTTTAGTCAATTCAGTGTTCATAGTTCTCATCAAGGAATGGAGGTCTGAGTTGCTGGTATAGAGATTACTATCGTCTGCAAATAAGTCATAGTTTATGAGTGTGCTGGCGTGGACTATGTCGTTTATGTACAACAAAAACAGTACTGGACCGAGAATGGAAAATGGGGGACGCCATACAAGATTGGCGAGGAGTCAGATTGGTGATTATTATAGCTGACATACTGCATCCTGTTGGACAGATATGAGGTAAACCAATTGTGGGACAGGCCTCTAACACCGTAATGTTCAAGCTTTGAAAGGAGAATGGTATGGTCGACAGTATTGAAGGCTTTAGAGAAGTCCAAGAATATACTGACTGTGAACTGACTGTCATCAAAGGAATTTAAGATGTCATTAGTAAAGGATAGCAGAGCACCCTCAATCGACCAGCTCTTATCCAAACTGGGTAGTCTTAAAGATGTTATTGGCATTGCAGAAGGAATTTAGTCTACTACATGCTAGCTTTTCCAGTATCTTACTCAAGGCTGGGAGGACTGATATGGGGCAGTAATTATTGAAGAGACCTTTGTCCCCAGATTTTTTATATGCTGGGTGAACTTTAGCAATTTTCAGTTTATCCGGAAAGACACCACTAGTGAAGGAGGAGTTACAAATGTGTAAGAAAAAAGGTAGTAATAAATGGGCAAATTTCGAAATGGTGCTCATTGGTATATTGCATTCGCCTGCTGCTGCAACTTTGGACATTTTTATAATGGCCAGTAATTCATCTGCTGTGACGGGGGATAAGAACAGCTCATTGAGCTGTCTGTTTTGCAGGTAGGCTCTAAATTCCTCATGGTGATCAGAGATCCTCTCTACAAGATTTTTGCCAAAATTAATAAAATATTCATTGAAGTGGTTGGCAATGGGGGAGGGTTCCGTTACAACGGAATCATTTATCATAAAAGCTGAGTGGGGAGTCGAAGGCTAGGTGTTCCTGTTATTACGAACCACGCCATATATTGTGTCATGATCCAACTACCCAGCACTACCGAGTAACGCCATCTAGGGACGAAACCCGAGTATGACTAGTCTTAGTCACCACTCAGGGTTTCCCTTCTCCATATCCTGGTTGTTGCGTCACCTCCTCCAACTCTTCCTCATCAGCTCCGGATCGAGGAGAGTTCAGTTCACTCTGGGAAGTGACTACACTTGGATTACCTATCCTGGAAACCTACTGCACAGTGACTACCTACCATCTTCTTCAATACTCAGCCCTACTCGTCAGACACTTCAGCACCGCACTTGAGTATTTGTAACCCTATATTACCTCCCACCTCCACTTGCTTCAGATTGTTGTATGTTGTATAAATATGTATATACTGTTAAGCCAATGTTGCGTTTGTTTAAGTTAAGTATGGTTAAGGGTAAATTATAGAAAGCTGGATATTTTGTTAAGGAATTTATTGTACTTTATTATACACAACAAAAACTCACATCCTTTGTCTACCCTTTTATAGTCCGATTGTCTTTGTTTGTTTAGTTTTTTTATTGTTGTTGCCTGTTGGGATCTGGGTAGACTTTTAACTATATTCTAAACCAGTTTCTAAATCCCCAACTCGTAACACTGTTCTGAAAAGAATGTATGACATTCCATGTTTTCTTACTATCGCCTGATGCTGACTGGAGCTTATTTGTATAATAGCTACGTCTGGCATTTCTAAGTGCTTGAGTTACTCTATTTCTGATACTTCGGTAAGCATCACCGAAAGTTATGTTTTTTTTTTGGCAAATTTCCTTTGGAGTTTGTGTTTTTCTTTTATCATTATCTTAATTTTACTTGTGATATGTGGTTTGGAAATGGATACAGTTTTCACTGACTTAATCTTGAGCGGGAAGCATTTATCAAAGCAAGCATTGAAGATGCAAGAAAAGTTGCAGCTGTTCACGTTAAGGTTTTCGGAGGCATAGACAAGATCCCAGTTAGCATTCATTAGGTTGTTTTCAAAAAGGAGCATGTTGTCGGTGTAGTAGTCTCTGTATTGTATTGAGACTCGACTAGACCATTCAGGTCTTGTGGCTGTTTTATACATGGCAAAAACTGGGAAGTGATCTGAGATATTGTTATAAATAATTCCACTTGCAAGATTGTTGGGAGTGATGTTAGTCCAGATATGATCTATCAAAGTGGCAGAAGTGGCAGTTACTCTAGTGGGTTTGGTTATAGCGTTGAAGAAGAGTTTAGAATGACAGGTAGCATGAAGGTCTAATACTGAAGTGTCGGTTTCTGATTTTAATAGATCAAGGATGAAATCTCCTGTAATGTGGCAATGTTTCCTCTCTGAACTTATGATAGTGATAAGCTCCGAAAATTTATCAAGAAAATTCCTTACATTAGTGTGGGGTCTTCTGTAGATTGATTACTCCTACTTGGATATTTCGTGTGTCGTTACGTAATTCAATGAAAACACTCTCCATGTACTCCTCCTGAACCTTTAAATCATCTCTTACAGAAGTGTTATACTTGATATAAACATATAGGGCGACACCACCACTGTGTCGTGACGTGTTGACGCAGTGTCTATTATTATTAGGAATGTTATACAAATGGTCAATATCGTTAGTGAGTTTGGTCACACATAACCCAGGTACATCAAATGTGTGGGCAATAGAAGATAAGCACTGATCTAAAAAGGTATCTAGAAGAAGGGGAATACTGCTGATGTTATGACTAATCAAGGAGACGGAATGAGGTAGTAGGAGACTAGAACTAAACTCGGGAGAGTCAGGAAAGTAATAGTTACTGTTTGGGTTGGTGTAACCCAGTGAGTTTTGTAGAAAGGCATCAGGATCGATATGAGGGAGTATTGTGTCGACACCATGGGTAAATGGGGTGTACTATAACACATGCGATTGATTAATTCTCAGTTCACTTTATTATGTTGGTAGTGGGTAGTAGGCAGCTATCAAAAAGGGAGGTACTACCGCCTGGGAAGATATTGGAAACAATGTGTCACAAAAATTGTGACCAAGTACCAGGTTGCTCATCTGTCTTTCTGCCTCACTTACACACAATTGCAGGGTCTCAATTGTCTCTCTTACTGTTAACAACGTAACACATATAACCTTTTTAATTCTTGGTCTGTTTTATTCTTCCGATTCCTTTATTCTCCTATGAAATCAGTTGACAATAATATTAAGGCGGGGCCTTCTCGGATATGTCCCACTGGTCAGGAAGGTTGTGGAACCCAGGGCCGACTTGATCATCATCAAACTAGTGGGGCCTCAACTGACATCACCAAGGTTGCTGGAGGATCGGCTTTTTTCACACTTCATTTTTCCAATATTCGCGGCCTAAGATCCAAGTTTTCTTCTGTCGAGCACCATC